CAACATAACCTCATTGTAATCTAGACACTGCGTCAGGTTGGACTTAAATTTATCGTTTTTAGTCCCCACACATGTCATATTTGGAAGAAAATAGTAATTTACCGTTTATATGCACTTATTCTGATTCTTCGAGTTTATTCGCCTCTCCTAAAGTTAATATCTCCATATTCACATAGGGAAAATAGGGGAAGGTAGTTGAAGTAGTGGGCCATATATAACCCAAGCTCCAGAATTATATCCTGCGGGATTTGTGTTAGTACGCAGTTTTTTTTGTCCACCAAAGCTGGTTATTTACAGCCGGCAAAAAGTATGATTAGCCAAAATGCACACGAAGAATCCTTACTGTCTACTATTGAAACGTATCGCAGCCAATAGAAGAGGTCCTATAGTGAATTCTGTGGTTTCGGTTCTTTGCTCCTTATAGTATGAAAGACAGCAATTTAACCATGCGTTTACAGGAATCTTATTGTTGGTTCTTGGTTAGACCCTCAACGTGAAGGACAGTGAACTTCCGGTATTCGCAGGGGTAATGAATCACAACTACTCACAAATAAGTGAACTCTGTGAATACTTGAGACCCCTCTTTTAATGTTTATAAGTACGTGCTTTAATGTTCAAACATCAAGTATACCTTAAACTATCATCCAGAACACTTTTGTGTCGCAACAGTATCTACACCTACGCGTAAACGCAACCGCAATTGTTACGCCCCCCAAGGCGAAAACTGATTATACTGTTACTGTTACCCTTATATGTAGACACACAAAGTTAGAGACAGTATTGGGAAGTTAATAACTCATTTTTCAACATAATGAATGTTGTCAGTTACGAAAATAAACGAAATTATTAGTGAATCATTTAGATATTATTTAAGAAGCAAAATCCGCATTTGCTGGATCGCGAATAGGTGGGGATCAACGTTACTCAATTTTTAAGTAAAAAGATATACAAGCGAAATAGGAGGTAATTGTTTATGAAAGTTCATTTGATATTGCCTATTTTTCAAGTTTCGTAACTTGACCCTTTTTCGCCCATCATCTCTAAAAGGTTTATATACTGCCAAAGTACTGATTGCTTTAAAATTAGAAAAATAGGACGCCTCTAAGCGGCTCTTGACTTTGCGAACGTAACCCCCCCCCCAAAAAAAAACACAGCGGGCACGTATTAATTTTGATACTCTCTGCAATGAGCACATTCTAACAAGTTCCGCTGTCGCTTTTCCGACGGCTGAACCCGCCCGATGGGTTGTACGTTTGCGCCTGCTAGGGATGAAAAAAAATAAAATCGTCCTGGTAGCCCTCGCTATCGAGAGAGGGGGGCAGTGGGGGTTGCGGGAAGGCCTGCCTCATCAATCAGTTTCTCAGGCGTGACACGCCGACCTGCATTCCCCCCCCCTACCCGCGACCCACGGGATTTCAGGGTAGAATGATATACGAACATGAGGATGCGCTCGTCTGTCCAATCCGTGTGCGGCAGTGCGTGTAATTGCGTGCAGATAACTCTGTATATGCAGGAGG